TTTGCCCATGCTTAACATAAAATGTGGCTTAAGATACTACAGGTATTTTCTGTTCTAAGTCTAGAGAAGCACTGTCATAGGTAAGAAAAGGACTTTCACCAGCAGTTATTCCTAAATAAAGGTTAGCTTAGAAAGTCCTTTAAAAAAAAATCGAATACAACTGTTACAGGTAGAAAGCTGCAAGTATTTTAAGTTCTTAAAAATCTTCTGTGACTGAAGTATGTACAGAAATATATTTTCCTGTTTTGTGTAATACACTAGCATGTGAAAAATCAGTAAATTCCCTATTTAATTGGACATGACTGCAGCGACTCCCACAGGGACTCAGGGAGTCAAACAGAACCAGCTCCTGCAACAAGCACTGCTCCTTCCTTCCAGAGGGGAAGTGGAGTGCTGCTACTGGACCCAGTGGAGAAAGGGATGAGACATTTCTTATGGAAGTCAGAGGTGCTGCATGTTGGATCAGGACAATTTTTGGTAGCACACTGTAAAAAATGATCCAAAGGCAAGCACGCCCCACCACCAGCCCAGACCTGAATCCATGTACTGGGGTTCCATCCAGAACATTGTGCCAGCCCATGGAAACTAAATAGAACGTGCAGGTCTGATCTAAACAGCTACCTTAATTTTAGATCCAGCTCCTGGTCTGGCCATCCCAGAAGGGCTTGGTTAAGAGGTAAGAGCAAATTACGAGTGGCTGTGTGGGCAGCAAAGGAAAGAACAAACTCACAGAGTAGCAAATCTTAAGAGACAAATACTGTTATAAAACAATAACATTACTGAAAACAATGCAGTTTGTGTACAAGACTGATAAATATTCTGAAGTGTTACAAGAATAGCACAGAGTTGTACAAACAGTAAATACTTGCATTTTCTATACTGCAGTACAGCAATAGAAAATAGCAGCTTCTCCAAGCACGGCCTGCCCTGTGCCCAGCCTGCCTGGCAGGTAGGACATGCTGGAAAAGCAGCTTAGGGGACACACAGTCAAATGAAGAGCACCAGGAGGGATATGTTATTGTAGAGATGAGCTATTTCTTAGGTGAGTAATGTTAATGAAGTAGTAACTGTGAGTTTAGCACCTATCAGTTAATAGCTTAACTATTATGTTAAGATACATGTTTCTCTGTTAGAACTGCCATTTCAAAAGAAGTTAGACCTGGACTACCTGTGTTTGAAGGGATCCTTTTAGATCCATCCTTCAGTGCCTCACTTCTTAAAGAAAAGCTGCTGGTTTTTCAAAGGAACATTTTTATCTTGAAGTTTCCATAAGTTAAATATGGGCATTTGTAGGAGAAGATTCAAGTAAAAATGATCCACTTTAATGGTATGAACATTTGAAAAGGTAAAGAGATGGCTCTGTAACTTACTAATTTTGTGTAGAAAATGTGTTTATCACATGGGAGTGCTGAATTACAGCACTAGAGAAACTAAAGCTGTCAGCACTACCAGTGAAACCAATAAACTAAGCTCGTGGTGTGGGACTACGGCTTTCAGAACAGCTGGGAACGCACAGTACTGCTCACTGTACGGACAGCTGCCACTCCTACTGATCTTGGGCTCACCAAAAACAGACAAGGGTTACAATGGAAGTCTAAGGCACACAAAATACCGTAATGATTTGATGTATACTGTATATTACGTAGTCAATAAGCATAAAACTGCTGGTACAAAACAATGGCATAATATTGGTTCTGTTTTATTATTTACAATCCCTTCATATCCTCTATTTGAGCTAATATTAAGCTTTCAACTAAAATTTGCAGCATACCCGGTTTTTACAAATTTTACTTAAAATAGGTAAGAGACAAAGAACGGGTTCAATCCCTCCATCCTCTGCCATCAACAGCTTTGTTAATCTGAACAGAAATGTGCGGAATTGAACCCAGGGTCGTTACAGAGTGATTGGTACTTCAGCCCTCGCTCCTGCAGACACCGCCCGTGTGCACAGGGGTGCAGGAGCGCAGGCTCGTGGCTCTGCAGCCACACCAGAATTGTAGCACCGAGGTCTTGACTGGCACCAGGTGTTAAAAACACCACTGATGTACTTGTCGTACCAGAACTGTAGAGTGCTTGCACTTGAGCTTCCCCAGGAAAAAGCACCTTGTCTGGGTTTAAATAAAGCAGCTCTAGACAGCTGCTACGCCCCTACACAGCACCACTACAGTATAATATATCAAGTATATCATCAGTACTTTGCACACTGGAACTCTCTGACCTGGTTCTACCGCCAGGCTGCCCAGGCGGGGTGGACGTGAGGCAGGAGGAAGGTACAGCTCTGTGTGAGGGGCTGACCCTACAGCTCTCCCAGGAGACCTGGCTCCTGTGGGACAAGGTGCAGGATGAGGTCAGTCCCTAGCTAACGTTTTTATTTGGTAATTTGTTTAAATAAATAAGTTTAAAAAAGAAATACATAGGAGAGGAGAATCAGAAAGAAGAGTGGGATGCTACAGTATTTAAAAGCAATGGAGTGTCTGTTTTTCCTCTGATTTAGCAAATACTCGTTTCGTGATATGTCACTTTTTCAACAGAAATGTAGAACATAAGCTTCATATGTTTGGAAGAAAGGATACAACCCTCTTGAAGAGAAATGTATAAATTGCTTCAAAAATTTACAAAACATTTTTGTAAGAAAACTGAACTCAAAGTTGATGAATATTACAGATAGGTTATTCTTAATGAAAAATTTGCTGTGAAATATTAGAAGTTTAATAATTTTCCAACACTTTCTTTGTATTTTCTCCAAATTAATTTTTTTTCCAGAACAGAATAAGGCAACTCTTAGGGGTATTTTTTTTATCCCAAAACAATCCTACCCCTGAGGCATTAAGAACTTTTGGTTGTCATGTTAACTTAGAATGCTCCAAAGGAATGAGACTTACACACTTATTGCTCAAAGAAACCATAATAAATGCTGCCTTTAAAAAAAGCAAATCATGTTCATATCTCCCAATAGCAACATATGTACTGACCAGACATCTCCTCGGTTCACGTTTGTACACTCTCTTGAAAGGAATAAAAAGGTTCTGTAATTCGTAACTGTTGTTTATATGCAACATAAAATCTTCAATGAAAAAGGGCAAGTTAAAACCAACCACATATGCTGTGAGCGCACATCCTGCAGCTGTAACAACACGGAACTCTACACAGCAAGAATAAAATCACTTCTGTAGAGTATGCACAAACCTTAGACAATATGATCCTTAGACTATACTATTTCAAGTTAATTTTAAAAATAGAAAGTGCTTTTAAAATATATATTTACAGCTTAAAAACAACTTCCAGCCATCCTTACCAATAACTTCATTTTATACATAATGACAAATCTAAAGAACAAAATTCATTGGTTTTCTAAAAGATTTATCTGTAATTTGGACTATATAGCAATGGTTGGAAGTTGTTAAAGCAATGGCACCATGAAGTAATAATTCAGCTTATTTATTTTTAACTGTTTGATGTGGTTAAGCACCAAGAGCTGTGTAGAGCTATAACTGTATAACTTGATTTAACACCATAAAATGTGAACCTGTTAAAATCCCTATAAATGATTTTTGTAGTAAACAGACTTTATTTAAAGCACCAAAATATAAATTCCTAAAGGTAATAAACTGAATGATTCAATCAAGGTTAATAACCTAAACAAAATCTTTTTTAGAATGTATTAAAACTATACAGCTTTTCTTTTTTTTTTTTTTTTGCTTAAAATGTGCTTGAGCACCACCAAATGTTAAAGTCACAGTTTAAGAAGAAATCCCCCCCTTTTTTTTTTTCTACCTCAGCCTTAAAATGGTTGAGATGAGCAAATAGTAAACGACAGGAGACTTGTTCTTTAACAGCACCTTAGAGAACCACCGTGTGACCCTGCGCCAGGAGGGGCCCTGCCACCTACGCCCAGTGGTTGTAGGGCCCCGCCACGCGCGTCAGGGCGTACGAGGACACCGTGATCACGTTGTCCTTGGTCACTGTCAGCGCTCGGCGGGAGGGAATTTGGTTGAACTCATTGTCTTCATAAAAAAGGTCTCTGTTTTCACTTGGTTGCTTTGCTTTCCTGTTGCTGGAGCTCAGTTCTGAATTCTCCGTTCCCAGTCGTTCCGCTTCTTTTTCTTTCTCTTTCGCCCTCTCGGCCCTCTTTGCTTCCCACATGTCCAAACCGTGTTTTGGCTCATTTAAATTTTTGTGTTGGTAGAAAACTAAAGAAATTCTTGTGGGATGATTCCGGTTGGGTTTTTTGATCGGTGTGGTAGCGTGGAGTTCCCGTCTTGCACATTCAATTAAGATAGAACCATGAGAAGGTGCCACAGCAACCCCACCAATGTCATCGTCCAAAAAATTGTGCTCGCTGTCTGACCACAATTCCTCAGCCTTTTCTTCAGAATCAGCCGGGTGTCCCAGTGCACTGCTTTGCTTTTCCTCAATACAGTCCAAGTTACACATCTGTCCTCGATGGGAGCTGCCCTTTTCCACCGGGCATCCATGGGAACAGTCGGCTCCGTTTCCGACGGCATCCGTGGCCGGAGAGCTTAGCGGTACTGACAAGTCACAAGAGCTGACCATCTGTGAGGAAGAGCTGTCCAGCTGGAGCTGACAGTTCTGTTTGTCAGGCTGATGTTCAAGTATAGTGGGCAGGGGGTCTGTGTGGGCTGGGGGGCCTGGAGCAGTGACCTCGGGAAGCACCGGTGGCACCCCATTCACCTTCTCGTCCAGCAGAATTCCAGTATAATCCTTGACCGACACATCGAAGCTCTTGCAGTTGACGTAAGGTGTCATGTGAGGTTGCTTGGTACTGCATTCAAAATACCCGTAGGGAACTGAAAAATCTTGTTGAATGTTAGTCACTGCTGTTAGGCCAGGCTTATGTGCTAGAGATGGACAAGGATGTAAACTATCCACCTTAAAGGGGGAGGAAGCCGGGCACTGCTTTAGTAAGGAGCAATTTTTAGTAGTGTTTGAAGTATGTTTCATGGCATACAGGTGATTGGAAGTCTCCATTTTTATTCCAGGTTTTAAAGCATCTGTTTTGTTCCCTAGAAGAAATGCACACCAAAGTGTAAGTACTTTTCCTCACTTAATTCATAAAATACACCTCTTAGAATTTCATACTTGTTTTCCAACATGAAAAATGTACATGATGACTACAGATTTTTCAAAATGGTTATTTTAAGATTTTTAGGATTATCTTGATGACCTTAAGTATACATATAATAACCTTGTTGAATTAACACCTTAACCTTTTCCAGTCAGGCTGCTGGTATATATAAAAAAAAGGTATTTCTCAAAGGGATGAATAAAATAAACAGAGAAAATGAAATAACCACCGAGTCCTGATCCACACAGCCCAGTCCTACACAAGAGCTTCCCAGCAGTTGACTGCTGGTCTTCAGTTGTTACATCATTGATGAGATTCAGCCTGTCTGAAATTAAACCTATGAATCAGTCAAAATTCTGGGCTGCCTTGACCCCATATTATGACAGAAGGAAAAAGCTTGTTTATCTTGTCTGTCACAGCCAAAACAGTTACTGAGTTACAACCACTCCTACATTGCAATATCAACTTACAACTGCCTTTAAAAAAAGGAGCTGGCAACATGCTCCAGGTAAATCCATCCCTACAAAGCTGGATCCTGTGATTTGGTGTCTGCTGTCTTCCCATGTAATTGCCTCACACAAATCACTTCACACCTTTGTGCAGACACTTGTTCAGTCCCTGTCAGCTCTCTAAGCTATTTCTAGCCATGGCAGCCCTGCTGCTGGGCTTGGCTGTGGAACAGCTCCTCAGTGACTGAATCTCATCATGGCTGTGTTCCATCCAGAGACCACTGGATCAATGGGAAAGAATTCCATCGTCTTGGATGGGCTTTGCATCATGCCCTGCAGTTGCTTTACCTGTGTTTGGCTGGCAGACTGGCATCCCTCAGAGAGCTCTCAGGTACTGTCTCTGTCAGTATTTCTTCTTTGTTCCATAAATACACAGAATGGTTAATTGCTTTACCCAGTACAGAAGAACTATTCCTTCTTCTACTCTGTCTTCTAATAATTTATAAATAATGATGGATAAAAAAGCATTCTTCCAACAGGAATGCAAAAAAGTCAAGGGATAAATTACAGACACAATATGCAAAAACTGAAGCTGAGTGGGACATAAGGAAGCCACAATGACTCTTTAAGAAAAACTTTTCTATGAAATCAAACACAAAGCATTTAATCTAATTAGAACAGCTCCCTCCACACCAAGGTCTCTCACCAAGCTGGTGGTCCTCTCCTGTTCTATCCAATATGGGCCAAGAAGAATTGCTGATATTTACGGAGACAGAAATAACTTTTCATCTTTGATGTTTATTTGTCCCGAATAATGTGGTTAAAAGACAGGACTATGCAAGGGAGGAAGTAAGGCCTCTGTCATTAATACACATTTCATACTAATTTAGAATTTCAAAGGCCTTCAGAATTAGAAAGTGTAAATATTGAGAGTTGTGCTGCTTGCAGTTGGTAAAAGGTGCATGACAAGTGCACTGTTTAATACTTTGCCCCAAGGCCTGGGCCCAGTGGGGACTCAGACCAAGCCCTCACAGCCGTAGGCGCTGCCAAACTGACTCGGACTCCTCCCCACCATCCTGGCTGCCAGGTGAGGGTAGGAGAGATGACGAGTCCTCCCTTATTCCTTTCTCATTGCCGGTGCTCCAGATGTGAAGACATGCAGGTTAGAGGGGTCTGTCAAGCTTTCCAGCTGGGCCACACTGCAGTGGCTCTCAAGTGAAGGTCAGGTCTCTTCCAGACAGACAGATTACACCTACACAGTGGGCAGCATGACATAGTCTTGTGACTCCATCATCCTCCAGGCTGCTCCAGAGCCTGACAGCCTCACATGGCTGAGCACGTGGCCAACAGTACCTACCACCCACGGGAATCCCATCTTACTGCATGTTCTCCACATTCTTTTTCATATTTGCAAAACCAAAGCAATATTCTCAACTCTTGCCCTCAATTAGCAAACCAGTACTCTACATTACATACCTCAGTTATCCATACCTCCCTCTACAGCTGCAGTGTTAAATATCTTTTCGTTCTTCCATCAGGAGAAAATTTAACAGTAATATCTGATTTGCTTAACAGCCTTGAGCAGTGCTGTGTTCACTGCTTACGTAAAACTCTAATCAGGATTTTTTCCATTCTATTTTCTATTACTATGAAAAGATCCTGATTAATCATTCCCTCTAGTCTATCATCAGGAGTGACTACTGAATAGCCCAGTTTAACTGCTGTCTCCCACACCCTCTGATCCTGTTTTTATACTAAGTCTACCATTCTGAGCTAGACTCCCAAGTTCCCATTCCTGAGGACTAAAATGATACCTGCCCCTGGCAAAAAGGAAAGAAGCAATTGATGACTGATCCCCTGTAACTGCAAGCCCTGCACATACAACACTGCAGTGCTCCAAATCCAGGGTTTACAGATCTCTGCACTGTACTGTGGGGCAGGGGCAGGGCAGCAGGGGGGTGCTGGGGTGTGTGCCCAGCCCTCAGCCTGTAGGACTGGAGAGAGCACTGAAGAGAGGTACAGAAACACCTCACGTTCCTGTCTGGCAGAGCCCAGCACTGCGGTGAGCTGACCGTCCTCTGCCACTGCTGCCTCTGGGAGTGTTCACACAAGGCACTCCCAGGACCAGGGGCCATGGGCAGGTGTGGGGCTTACAGTGCTGACATCTGCTTTGGGGAACTCCACTGTCAAAACTTCATGACAAAAGCTGCACTTTTATCATAGAAACTAAATATTCTGTTCACATTCTTATTTTTCCATCCCTGAAAAACTTTCTTGCTCATAAAAGTGTTTCTTCCTCGCTCTGTACCTTACTTTAATCACCAGCCCTTTTAAATTACTTTACAAAAATAGTTCAAGTCCAAACAAATGATCTAAGTTGGCTTGTTTACGCAGTTATTTTATTACTTTTGCATGTTCAAGGAATAAAGTTCTGTGTTCCCAAGGCATATGGGACACCCTGGCTGTTTCAGCACTGGTTAAGGCTTCCAGGTGTGGAAGCCATGCCTGCTGCACCTGCAATGTCATGTACAGGTAGGTGGGCCAGAAACCTCTTTCAGTCTTTCAAAACAACACTGCAGTGAGATCAAACAATTTCAGGATTCATTCCCAAACCAGAGCCCTCTAATGCTTCCAGAACTTCCAGCCCAGCCCTAGCATGGAGTTACTGTGTCCCAGACATGCACATGGATGAACTGAATGTCTCTCTAATATCCTGAGGGTCAGCAATACTGATTTTCTGGTTCATCAGTCACCCTGAGTCCCCTACTGAGACAGAGTGCTCAGTGCCATTACCAAAGTGTGACAAATGCATTTTTGGTTTTTTAAATGTTATTCCCCCAAAATGCAGACATTCTTCTAAATACATTTAACTGTCATTTCTCCCCTTAAGTCTACCTATATCTGGATGGTTCTCATGAAATAAAATTACAGCAGGTTGGCTAATTTTCCTTTCTTCTTCCTAACAGGAAGAAGAGTGCTTTAATTCCTTTTATTTATTTTCCCCCTGCTAATCAGAGAAGTCAAGTCCATGGCTTCTTCCACCTCTTCCTTCTCTTGTACTTCCCATTACTGCACAGTCCCATACTGTAGTTCTACCCTGGGAAGGACTAGCTCAGAATCCAAGCCCAGGTACCACAGTGTACACCAAAAGCACCTCCACACAGCTCAGCCCCGTCACAGTTCTAATGAAACAGTGTTGAGGAGCTTTTCCCTCCCTCAGATGTGCAAGAGGCAACACAGGATCAGAAGAGAGTGGCAGGATTTCATAAGCATCACTCACCTAAACAATGCAAAGCGTTGCCCAGATTTTCTGCGGCTTCGGTTTTCAGCTTTACCGGTGTTGAATACTTTTTATCTATTAATGGCTGCTTTTCACTCGGGGCCCTCCTCGTGTCTGGTTTCTTTTTCTTGGTGGCTCTGAGAGGCTCAGCCAACATCCGCACTTCCCTGGGGAATGCTGTGAGCACCTGGATGGCCCCGGCTTTGATCTTGGCTTCCAGGCCCTCTTCGGTGCCGAATTCATCTGTTTGTGAGATCTTGTACAGAGGCAGCACATGGAGCTGTTCATCACTCGGGATCACCCCCACGCTCCGGTTGTCTTCCTTCGTCAAGGTACAGACCTGGCAAGAGCAGGGACAGTGACAGGTGACCCCACAGACCCAGGGCTGGGAATACTGGGGCAGCCACCCCAGGCCTCACTGCCTGCTTGCATTTTACGGCCTCAGGGCTGTGGGGCTTTCAAATGCAACCATCTGACACACATTTTGTTTGATCTGTAATGACACAGAAAAGTTATTGGTACTTCAACAAGATCAAGGCACATGTCTTGGACAGGAAAAATGAAACTCTGGCTCAGCTTACACTACCCACAAATATATGCCAACCTTGGAAAATAATCTCAGCTGTAAATACAGTGTTAAATTCCTAAGCATTCCAATTATTTTTTAAATACATAAATACATCTTTGATGATCAGATTAATTTTTAAGGACTGTAAAATACAAAAAATTATTATTTTTGGACTGAAAAAGAAGTTTCTATGATCTAGAAATTGGTTCTGGTTTTGGCTGGCAACTGAAAAAACCCACTGCAAACAGTTACTTATACTGTTCTACATTTTTAGCAAATCTCAGCTCTAACTCACTCCCTCTCTCAACACTTCCTTAAATTAACATCCCACTGTAATTAAGCCACAAGACCCAGGAAATATTCTGTTAGGCCACTGCCCTCCTTCCTGTCATTCTGGGCTGTGAGATCCTGGAGCCCAGGACAGAGCTGGTTACATCCAGTTTGATAAGGGCACATCAGAAATGGGTATAAATATTCCAACTTATTGCAACAGTTTCCTTATCACAATTGTAAGCTGAACACTTCCAGCAGTGCTGGAGTTCCAGCTGTTACTAACACTAACCCTTCCCCTTGAAAGCAGCACTCAAACCAGCAGGATTCCTGGTGTCACTCCCAAGGGATGGCAACAGCTCTGTGTGCCTTAGCACATGTACAGTCACCCTTTCCTGGGTTTACCAGTGGCATTCCTAAGGGACCACTACGTCATCTCACACTTCAGGTGAGCTGCTGCTTCACAGGAGTTACTAACTACACACACAAAGGAATACGAGCACCATCCATCCAAGGATGGGATGATACTCCCTAAGTGGAAACATATCATTCCATCGCTGTGTTGGCTGAATGCGATGCCTATCCTGAACAGTCAGTCCAATTTCCCAGGATCTTGTCACCATGCCTAAGATTCCAGGGGAGGAGAATTATATTGTTATTATTTAGGAGGGGAAAAAACAAAACATTTTTAATTTTACAGCACAGCTTTTGCATAAAGGCATCACACAGTTATTTCTAGAACACTGAAGTTGCAGAATCCCAAACTAAAAACCCTGGATCAATAAGGGGGTGGCTGGGGCTGCATCAATGGCTCTATGCAAAGCTTGGCAGTGGCAGAGCAGCAGCAGGAGGGGCTCTGAGGGGCAGACAAGGGGGAAGAGCTTTTGGGAGGCAGCTGGCAGGGTGAGGGAGGGCTCTGGGGGCAGCTGTAGCATGGCTGAGGTGCTGCTCCATGCGTACTCACCTCCGGGGCAGCCTCTGCACTACGGGAGAGTCAGAGAAAACAACCATTGTTCCATGAGCAGTGAACGGAGCTGCACCTCCAGACTCCCACACACCCCAGCCCAGCACCTTATCCCTGCTCCCACCTCGGCTGGGCACGGCAGGAACAGGCTGCCTGCAGCTCCTCTGTGGGGGAGCTGAACTGGATCCAAACCTGATCACTCAGCAGGGAAATTTTACAACTTGGAACAAGAGGGAAAATCTCCAAAGACAATTCGGTTTCTGCAAAGTTCAGTGAAATCTGGCTGAAATTTGCCAGCAGATTCCAAGTTACTTGGGAAAGGTGAGGGAGGGTCAGACATACAGAGAGCACAATTCCATATGAGTGGTGTTTCAGAAAGCCCAGCACAGCCTCCCCCTCTAAATTGAAATCAAAAGCAGTAATGAAATGAGCATTGAGGGGCCTGGCTCCCACTTGTTCTCATCAGGAACTGGCAATTCCCACTTGTTTTTTAGAATACCATGTCCAGCCCGTGCCTAGCCCATGCACAAGTCCTGAAGATTCAATCTGGTCTCAATTATTTTGAAAACTGAGACCCTCATCCAGTTTGCTGTTCTAAATTTCCATGCAAAAGCCAACACCTTCCTTGGAACAGGAAAGCTGGAGAACTGTTTTGAGGAACTAAACAAGATGAGGGCTGTAATATATTGACAGAACTCTGGTGAAAGTATAGTCAACTCCAACACACCCTATATTAAATACCGAGTTAGAACACATCAAGAAATTAATGTATATCCAAAATTGTTAAAACCCTGAAGACCAGTACACCTACAGCCTAAATACCAAAAGAGCTATTTTATTATTTTATTATATGTAGAATTTCAAGGTGCCCCCATAATACATTTTAACATAAAAGTAAGGACAAAATGGCAAATGGGTAATTGAAAAATTAATGTTATGGGAAAACCAGCTACAAATGAAGGCTGTACATATAAGCCAGCATCTTACAGCTGAAGGTGGTAAGCCACTGAATGAGAAATACTTGCTTAAAAAAAACATTCCAGAATTCAAATCTGTGCAAAATATTCCATTAAGAAACTTAGAGAGAAGCTTTTTTGCTGAGAAGTCAAAAGCAACACTTTCCATTGGTACTGAAACTGTGCTGCAAACTGCCCAAAATTAAACCCGAACATGAGAAAACCATCAGCTCTGTTAAAGGCCATTTACAGGGTGAAGCTGCATATCCTGCTACTCTGCTTTTTCCAGAACACGCAGCTAAATCATCCAGGATGCTCAAAGGCCACAGAAAATGCTGGCCAAGTGGTTTGTTTAGGTTTCCAGTTTCCAGTGTGTGTGGCGATCAAACCCATTACCTGTTTTGGGTTTAGTGATGTCATGGTGAAACTTGCGTATTTGTAAGACTTTATTATTAATTTCTTTTAAACTTGAAGGGCACGAGGAACTCAGTGCAATTCCCTCCAGAGATCTCCAGAGAAACATCTGTAGCCACACAGCTCCCAGTGCATTATTCTGGGACTCTTTGATCTGCCTTTGTCCTCCTGAACCTCGCATGTAGAGATGATGGAGCCTTTTCCACTGTGTTGTAAGAACAGATGTTTTAAATTCAGGTTTCAGCAGAGCAGTCAAACAGCCTTTCTAAACCTTAAAGATGGAACCAAGTTTCCTACCCACACCTCCCCTGTGCAGCTGGAGAGCAGAGTGGGTGTCCCTGGGCCCAGGTGCTGCTCCATCCTTGCCTGCCAGGACACACACAGACCTCTGGGCTTTTTCTGCAGCCGAGACAAACCGTGGAGTTCTGCTGGCCTGATCCACCCCGGACAGGTGTGTGCAGGCCAGGATTGGAGGTGGGATCCCCAGCTGTGTTTTCCTTTGAGCACTCTCTGCCTCCCAGGTGGTGGCACAGGTACAGCACATGAGCCGCTCTCTGGGCGCTCACAGGTTACCAACGTGAACGTGAAATGTTTCTCCATTTTCACAATAACAAAACTAGAAAACCCTTTACAGCCCAGAGGGTTTATCTTCTCTCCTCTTTGTTATAACCTGAAGCCCCAGCCTAAGCCTCTGGTTCTCCTGCAGTTCCCGAGGCAATGGCAATGTGGTGTAACCATGCAGAGACATCCTGTCGGCTCCTGCAAAGGCCTGGAGCCACGTGTTGTGACACAGCAGGCTGTCCTACAAAAGTACAAGAAGGGATGGGAACAGCAGAGGCTTTGAGATTTTATCCAAACTGGGAGCACTTAGTGGATGGATTGCTGATTGACACTACTTAGTTCTGCTGCCAGTAATAAACTACATATTGTAGCTGCCCTTGAAGCATAGATTTACCTTCCTGCCCGCCCTTCTTCCCAATGCCTCTGCAGTCTGTGTGGCTCCAGGGATTCCACACAACTGCACTGGTCTCCCATTGCTCAGCCCCAGCCCACATCCCTGTTGGGTGAGAACAGTCCCAGCCAGGGCCTGCACAGCCTTTGTGCCACAGCAGTGACTGAAGGGCATGAGGAGTGTGATCCTTCCCAGCTAATCCAGTAAAGAAACAGCAGAACTTCCATTTCACAGACTCCATTAATAACTGTAAAGCTTCTCTCTGTGTTGCTCCTTTAGCTTCTATCCCCCAAGGAACACTGCCCCTGACACTGTAGCTGTCATGTACAGCTGGGCCCTTAGAGAACACAGAGATGACACAAATGTCTGAGTAAAAATGAATGGTGTATTTATTGCCTTAAAGTTTTTAATAACAATTCATTGGCAAAAATTACTTTGACCTCTCTCAGCACATTAGTTTACATTTCTATAGAAATGTCAGGTGTGCTCTTTCTACTACAGAGCAAGCAGGGAACAGCAGTTTGTATTTTCAGCTTTCTACCAAAAGCAGCTCTGCTAAATTCAGGGCAAGACTCTGCTGGCCAGGGACAAAGTTCCGTCTCTCAGATCTCCAGTGATAAGTATCAGTTAACAGTAATCCTCAGTTTGGGTAAGTTAAGATGCACTGTTTTCTCTTGTTTTACAGAAGGCATTTCCAAAACTCTCCCACTGCTAAATGACAGCCTGATTTATTTTCAGAGTCACATACAAAAAATGCAGCTGATCAAATACATACCTAGAAAAATCCAAGAATGCTTTTCTGAAGTTCTGGCAGAGGCAGTGGTGAGAAGTTATTACTGACAGCTCATTAGATAATATATTCTTCTAAGTGTAAACTCATTCGTTATCATTAACCTCACCCAAGTGTTTTGCTGTCTCTGGTTTAAGTAATCTGAATAGATTGTGGTTTTCCTTTACTTTGGGTGCCCTGCACAGCATTCCTTCCATACCTGTGGGCACCAATGACAAGGGGAGAACACAAAAAGGTGTCACTTCCACCAACAGAACCAGCAGCATTCACCCATTTCACAAGGTATTTACTTGAACCTTTTTAGCCCAGAGGAGCTTTAGATTTTATAAATTAACCATTTTGTGTTGGAATAAAGAGGAAGGGAAGAAATCTTACCAAGTTGACAAGTGCACTTGTGTAGAGATTTTAAAATGTAAGGTGTGATGAGCAGTGAAAAAAAATCAATCAAATTACAAGACAAAAGCAGTAAAGCCATGGATGCTTGATGTTTTTAAGGTAGTGCAAATCATTCTCCTTCTGTCCATTACCAGATTATCAGAGCACTCTGTGTGAGAGCTGTCACCTCAGGTGTTGTACTTGCACACACTGCATTTTACAGACAAAATATGTCACAGTTATGTAAGTGACCCCTCCATCGTTATGGCCAGTGATTTATAAGAAATCATCACATATTTTAAACTGACTCAGCAGCCCCAGAGCAGCTTCTGAACTAGACAGGACTGCAGGAGGTGACCAGACAGGTGCTGGGATCACACATACTAATTTCTTTTTGTGTTCTTACCACTACATTTCCTATGGCATTACCAGATTTGGTTATAAACCAAAATTAGCAACCCTAATTTTGATTATCATCACAACAATCTAGACTGAAGCAAGCCCAGCGTGTTCTGCCACCCTGCCAGCAAAAAAATCAACATTTTTTGCTTTAGGCTCCCAGTCCATGTGACTGTAACTGTGACCCAGACAGAGAACAGATGCTGTGTCCTGTCCCCACAGCCCCAGCTCCCACAGATCACAGGGGATCTCCAGCTCTGATTCACCTTCAGTGTCCCAGTTCAAGCAGGTAAATTGGGTGTTAATACTTACAGCTTTTTCCTATTTACAAATAGCCCCTTGCTGCAAGTACATTGAAATAAAGAGCAATCACACCTAAATAAAGAGAACACAGGGATGCAGCAGTTATTTGTGAGTGAGCTACCCAATGAAAACCAGATTGCAAGGCATAGTTTTCAGCAGTTAAAATGATGTAGTAATGTTCTGCTAGACTGACAAAATTTGGCAGAACTTGATAGTAAGACAGTGGTAAGTTCTGGCCCATACAAAGACCTTACACAGTTGTAATGTTCCCTGATTCTGAGACAGAATTACTTGCGAACATACCCTGTACAATCCATAAAGTATCAACACCAAGGATAATCTGAAGCTGCAGTAACATCAAGTGATTACAGATAAATGTATTTGTAGAACTGTTCCCCAATACAAAAGGTTTAATTGTTCCTCCAGCTGCTTCTGGCCATAACTTACGACTTCTCTGGGATCCAGTATGGCAGAATGAGTAGAAGACTTGGTTTCCATTTCATTTTGTCTTTTAACTTAATGGGCAATGAATGGAGCACTTACACTTATTATTTTCAGAACACCTGAGCTAAATTTCATCAAAGAGTATACCATGCAGTTTGTCTGACAAGGAGGCCTCATTTTCAAGTTTAGGATCTTCAAGGGCATTCAATTCCTACACTTCAGAAGCAATTTTACAATGTATACTTCAACATTCTTATATAGAATATCCACACAGAAGAATGCTGGCAAAAATAGTCTCTTGAGGACTGACATTCCTAGTGAATTCCCAGACCTGCTTCCATACTTTAAAGGAACAGCCATTTGCTCACCTTACAAGCACACAATTAACATTAAACAACTGGCCCAGTCATTTCACTGCTCTTACATTCAAAAGCTGAATGTTAACTATAGGTGTAAATGCAACATTTTATTGCATCACAGCAACACTAAGTCAAATTGCATTTCCAAATTTTAAAAAAGACTGTTTCTAAAGTAGGCAGACATTTTAGATAGATTTTTTTTCTACATATCCATCCTTTGATAGAGAAGTTACTTGAATATTACCTGCACTGCTGTACAAGAAGTCACCCTCACTTTTAGAGCCCTGCAATGCTCCAGCTGCTCAGAGAACACTGCCAGTTTTATCTTTGCTGCTTTGAGCTTGGCTTTCTGTATTTCTAAATGATCACTGATTTGAGTAATTCCCAACCCACTTTCTAACTGGCAGTCCAGCGAGGTGTTTGTACAACAGCCACACCCATCTGTGGGTTTCCCTTCCATGCTCAGATTCAGTGATCACAGTGATCCCTGGCTCTGTGGGACAGTCCCTGAGCCAACCCCAGTC